TTTGATTTGGTGGTTTAACAAGGGTGCCACATGTGGAGCAGGATCTGCTTACCCTTCCGGAGCACCTGAGATCACCCCAAGTTTTTGGTGGGGTTCGTGTTGCTAGTCTTTAGTTTTCTATGTTGTGTTTTATGTACTTATATTTGTCTGTTTGTCTTTTTCATTTTTAGTCATGGCGTTGTCAGTTTATTTTCGATCTATGAGTTTGACTGTCCCTCTGGTATCTTTCGCCCCTCTTTCTTAAGACGGAATATTCACAAGAAAGGTAATCCCATTGGCCATGGGTATGAGAACTCATCAAAGATAATAGTCTTATAATAGTGTAAGTAACACGTGCGATTCGTCTACAAACGACTCATAAAAAACATATCATAGTTAACATCATGGTAATAATCTGCCAGATACGCGTTTCATCTTCATCAGAATCATTAGTAGCACTCGGATCAGGGTATCAGGGTAAGTTAAAGATAATCATATACCAAACATTACGAAATGGTTGCCAAATACGTATAAGGTAACCAAAAACCCTAGAATTTCAAGTAATACATTTTTTTGTTGACAATACATTTACAATAAAAAAAAGAAAATATATCAATGAAATGTATGTTAACACAAAAGTGCTGAGTACTGGGTTGGTTATACCCTCGGGAACGAAAAGACTCCAGTAGTGGTATCAATTTAGTGGTTTTTAGAACTCATGATGTTAACATGTACCAGGCTTTTAATGTAATATGGCAGACGCGCATTTCTTTTATATCAGATTGTTCAGTGGCGCTTCAATAAGAACAGTTGGAAAGATAAATCAAACACAAAGTTGCAGAACATAAAAACGGAGAAATTACAAACTACGGCTAGGCAAAAAATGCTTTGAGGTAGAACAACCTTCTACTCCGGGTAATTTAAATTGTAAAAACAGAAGATTGAATAAAATAGAAAGAACATATCAATGATATTTCATACTATCACAAAACGTTATCTTTTAACGGATGAATTTGATCGAAAACATAAAAAAATAAGCTTTTTTGAATATTTGCAGGTTTATGTAAAAATAAAAGATGAATGTGTCTGAGGACACAAATGCCCCCGCTCAAGATTTGTAATTTTCCAAGTTAAAAAGGGACATATCTCTAGAACGATAAGTGATTCACTCGCCAAATTCGAACTGTGTCTGCGAGATTTAGTTTTTAAGAAAATTTAGATGAGGAAAAGTTAGGTAAGAGTGCGTAAACAAAAACTAGACGGACAGCAGGACGGCCGGACGGAAGTACGGACGCCATTGGTAGCACTTAATGCCCCTTGTTTCCGATAATTTTTTGAATTTTGCGCTTGCAGTACAAAAGCGTATTATTTATATTTTTTATTAAATTGATTTCAATCTTTTAAATGATTTTACAAGTATGAGCTATTGTATTTCAAATTGTGTTTGCTACTTAGTTCAAATCAAAACCAAGCAGTGTAAATTCAGGACTAAAATCACCGTTTCTCCAAGGCTTAAATTAACATCTACTACTTATTCGCCATGCCAAATGTTTTGTTATAACGTTGTATGATATAAGCAACTGACAACCATGTAAAATCACATATAAAAAACCCCGTTTTCGTGTCCTGGCTCCTGGTAATGTGCCAAATCGTTTAAACTTCCGTTTTTATGGAACATAACAAAGAAAAATTAATGGGTTTCAGCTGACATTACTCTTTAAACTCAACTACACCATTTGATATATATATATATATATATATATATATATATATATATATATATATATATATATATATATATATAAATATATATAAAACGTCTGAATAATAGTCAACGATTTTTCCCACGAGGGCGCTGGATCGTTACGAGTAACGATACATGTACACAATAAATAAATTATATAAACGCCTAAAAAGTGTACACAACAACACCAATACCAAAATAAAAACTACATCTTTTCATTTATCCCATTTGGTGCCAAAGTTGTTAATTTTCTTATCCAAAATCTTACCCGAGTGAGTCTATCCTCCCTAGACCAAGCAGAGTTGTGGTCAATGATTGTAATGGTCAGTCGATTGAGATCTGCCTAAGTGTGGCCAGGGGATCTCAAATGTCGACTGAAAGGGAGGTCTGGCTTGCATTGGTAGTCGCTACGATGACCGTTCATTCGTTTGTGAAACGGCTGTTTTGACTCGACAACATACTGTTTACCACATTTATACTGTAGGAGATACACAACATTTGTAGTCTTGCAATTAACATTGCAAAATATGGTGTATTCTGTACCAGTAGAGTGACTGTTAAAAGTCTGGGTAACCAGTATTTGTTTGCAAGTCAGACATCGTTTGTTTCCGCAACCCTTGCAAGAGCCAACAGATGAAGAGCCTGCTTGAGAGGATTTGCTCCACCAACGATATTGCAAAAAAACGACTACAAGAACTTCGCGGTCACCTAAAACATCGGGGCTACAAAAGAAAAGACATTGATAAAGGTTTTTCTCGTGCAAACAACATCAGCCGAGATGAACTTTTACAATATAAAATCAAAAAGGTCAACAGGAGGGTGCCTTTTGTGTTGATTTACCATCCAAAATTTGACAACTTATCTCACCTAATCCGCAAAAATTGGAAAGAAATCGAAAAACATCATAAACTATCCAAGATATTTCCCGAGCCACCTGTACTGGCTTTCCGTAGGCCCAAAAGCCTTAAAGACTTGCTGGTGATAGCTAATTTATCCTCTCAAGCAGGCTCTTCGTCTGTGGGCTCTTGCAAGGGTTGCGGAAACAAACAATGTCTGACTTGCAAATAAATACTGGTTACCCAGACTTTTAACAGTCACTCCACTGGTACAGAATACACCATATTTTGCAATGTTAATTGCAAGACTACACATGTTGTGTATCTCCTACAGTGTAAATGTGGTAAACAGTATGCTGGCGAGTCAGAACAGCCGTTTCACAAACGAATGAACGGTCATCGTAGCGACTACCAATGCAAGCCAGACCTCCCTCTCAGTCGACATTTAAGATCCCCTGGCCACACTAAGGCAGATCTCAATCGACTGACCATTACAATCATTGTCCACAACTCTGCTTGGTCTAGGGAGGATAGACTCACTCGGGAAAGATTTTGGATAAGAAAATTAACAACTTTGGCACCAAATGGGATAAATGAAAAGATGTAGTTCGACTCCATGCAGTGCTTCACATTTGAGTTATATTACTTATTATTACAGTCTCTGTTTCTATTTCTTTACCTTACTCATCTCTAAAATAAATCTTATCAATATACCAATTTAAATTGCTTAATTTTTTGAGGGATGTAAAAGTACCAAGCCACGTTCAACTAGTTAACCTTAGTCAAAATTTATTATTATATTTTAACGGCCGTTTGTTTGCGATGTTTAAATACGCAGACTCTGTTGTAACTACTCTACCGTTGTCAAATTGGAAATATTTACAAATTTAGATCGTTCAGTGCTGTTTATTTGGAATTCTTATTGACGCAATCGTTCTTGTAACATCATAACTGTCGTCACCGTTAAAGCTTAAATTTAAGTAGACTGATATATGATTCTTTCAACATCACAATCATATTTACTGATGAAGGATATCTGTTATCCGAAATATTTATAAATAATTACATTTATAGTTCCTTTTTTTGTTATTGGTGTTGTTGTGTACACTTTTTAGGCGTTTATATATATATATATATGTCATTCTTAACAGGCAAAAAAATGTTTCATTATGACATTACGGCACTATGCAAATGAGGCTGTACCGTTGGGTGCAGACCAAGGATAACATGAAGACGCGCGGAAAAAATTAACACGGCGTTTAATCGCGTGCACTTCATGTAAACGCCGCGTTAACTCTGCGTTTACTCCAAAATTTTAGTAGACATAAAAAGTAAACGGGGGTTTACTTTCACGTTTACCTCCGCGTTAACGCGAAAAAGGCGCGTCTTCTAATTTTGTTCATAGTAAACGGGCGTTTACTTCCGCGTTTACTTCCGTGTTAACGTGAAAGGGATGCGTCGTCTGTTCTTTTTTGGTAAAAAGTAAACGCACGTTTACTTCTGCATGGTGGGTTACCCTATTGACAGGACCAATGATAGGACAATGATAGAAAAAAGACAGAACCAACATGAAAATTGCTAATATCAATTTTTTTAATCATGGGATTTATCTTAAATTTGAACTGTATTTAAATTTCTATCAAAACTATCAAAACTTGCGAAAACGTGACCTTATCAACGCTGACAATGACCGGACCAAATGAAATTGCTAATATCTTTTTATTTCTCAAAGAATTCATCTCAAATTTGAGATCTAACAAGCCGGATAGTTGTGTAATTTTTATACCTCAGAACAATTTGAAAACGAAATTATTATACTACCTCTATATATCACGTTCAAAACGCTATAACGTGAACCGCGCGTAACGTCGTACTTAGAAGTGCCGACGTTCAGGGGCAAAATATGAAGTTTTGTTCAACGTCAAGTGGGACAGTCTGAACCAATCACTTGTTGATTCGCTATCAATATTAACATGCAGTTGAATAATATGTAATATTGACTAGTAAAATACAGCTTCAAATTATAGACGTCATCGGTGACAATATGGTGATTGAAACAATTGATCTAAATATACTAAACTAAAAGGGTTATTGCATCTTAGTAAATACTTTCCCGTGTAGAAGATAAATAGCACTTGCATGATTGCAAATGCAATATACAGACTCGGGTCAATATTCACCAATATTCATGCAACAACCCTTTATTGTTTTAACACATAGAATACGGTACGGTTATAAGAAACGCTGATTTGACTGACCATAGTTTACGTAATATGTGTTCAACCTTAAGAATATTTTCAATTTTCATTTACGAATAATTTATAGAGTTAAGCAATTACAACCTCTAAAGAATTACTTGATGAAAGGGAACACTCGAACCCATTGAAACATTCAATTATTCATTATCTTATACACATGTTATATATATAAATTATACTTACCATAAATACAACAAACTGTGCTTACTAATAACTGCATGTACAGCCAAGGGTGATTTGACCTCATTTTATTTCAAGGTTGACTGTGATTTTGATGAACACAAATCCTTTAACAATATAAAAGTTCAAAAGAATAGAAATTTAAATATCATTCACAGACAATACCTGACTGACTCAATGCCTTGAAGATGTAAAACTGATTATTAAGAATTATTACATCAGTTCAATCAAAGTGTGTGACTTTCATAAATAATAATTTGATTTTGTTCTCATTAGGTAGTTGAGTCATTTCCTTGTTTGAATGAGAAGCCATTCAAATACTTGAATAAATGGTCCTTTGAAAGAATTAAGGGGTCATTGACTTATTTGTAGATATTATTTTGCTAAACATTCTTTTTGTCTGTAAACAATTTCAAGACATTTAGCTGGATTTCCTTAAAGTATGGCAATTCCAGAGTTGCTTGATTCTTCCTGAACATAAATGATATAAATACTATTGTATATGGCTTATCTTTATGTGCTGCTAACTAGTTTTCGTGCTTTTACTATTTTGAACAAAAGCATATGAAAATAATGAAATCAACTTTTTTTGTCAAAAACTCTATAAATATTTTGACTTAATTACTTGCTTTTAAAGGTCTGTTCAATTCGGTTGACAGTTATGATTTGTAGATTCTGTACACTACACTACCACATACTTTTATCATACAAGAGATCTTATTTGAGTAAATTGTCATTTTAAAAAATCGGGTTGTATATTAATTTGCTGCAACTCATATTGGCCCTTCTTCTGTAAAGAAAAGGGAAATAAGCAAGATACTAGAACGGCGATGAAATGATTTTTTTGTCTGTTCTTATGATGTGCAATTTCACACTGTTCCAAGTTAAGGGGATGGTTTGACACACCAGCAAACATAATTAACCCCGCGATATGTTTAATGTGCCTGTACAACCATCCAGGTGCAATTGAATGCTGATGAGGAATGTTTGCCTCTTTTTGTACGATTCGATTCGTTAAAACAATAAGGTATTATGATAGTCATCAACAATTGTGGCATTTTATTGAAGAAATGATATATTGTTTAGTGTAATAAAAATAAACAAACATGTTTTAAACGTAGAGATAAACTTTTAGTTTACCTGTCTACAGCAAAATGATAATGAATGAATAATTGTAATTAACTTATTACGGATACATGTTCATACGTTATGGCGTAAATGCAGGATTACACACAAGACAACCATGATACAAAATAAATTTCGAGATACCCGTTCAATCTAGAGGTGCACTGAATGAATTTCATCTTAAATTGAGTTTGAAACAATTTAATTTAAAACAAAAGATACTATTAAAAGTCATACTCGGCGTCGGATATGTTAAGTATGTTGAAATATTTGAGTAATCAATTGTTCATCAGACAAGGAGATTCAAATGCACAATAACGACACGCCATTTTAATCTTCATTTAAATAAATCAGATTTCGAAACGACTTCTAATAAAACAAGGAAGACATTGAAAAACTGCATTTGTAATTTAATATTCTATGCACATGACGTAAATGCTAAAATTTTAGTATCCATTTATTATTCTATTTTTGTAACTTAGTATTATTTTTTTCTTCACAAAGTACAATTCAAGGTTTTTGTTGTTTATCATCCATTTTTTAAATACTAGTAGTATTTTGATGCAAAATTATACATCTTAATACATCAGTATTTATTTTATGTGTGGAGACATCGACCCTTATCCCCAATCGAATAAATTTAAAAATAATCAGTGATTCTATCAATGAATTTATCTAAACACGGCCTTCAAGCTATTCATGAAATTTGTATTATTTGTAAATCAACATGTATGTTACTCGTTTGATTGACATATAAGCAAAGAAAGATTACAAAATGAAATTTAATAATGTTATTCACAGATAGATAATAAGTGCACAGATATTATATGTGACAGTTTCTAAAAAAATAGATTAATCATCAAAATCTTCCTTCCTTTGTATTACATGGAAGCAAGATATGTGTTCCTTTTTTTTTTACTTATTATCTATGTGTGACATCGGGAAACATTATATACATCAATAACCTACTAAGAAAAGACTTAAGGTAGTTCAGGGGTATAGACAAAAATGACAGAATTTTCTTATACTTTGTGAACTTAAATTTTGTAGCATGGTAATTGAAAAATCAAAAAAAAATTGGGGGTCACCGGCCATCTAAGAGATTTTTTGACCTCTGAAAATGAGTGCAAATAGGCTATATGGATATATAGGGAAAATGGACATAAAACCTCTTTGATTGAATTTTCACAGCAAACAAAATGACAGAAGTTGCTCATTTTTGCATACTGAAAAGTTTGATGTCTCTATTTCTTGAAATTGGAATAAAATTTGGGGGTCACCGGCCATCCAAGAGATTTTTTGACCACTAAAAATGAGTGCAAAAAGGCTAAATATAGGGAAAATGGACATAAAACCTCTTTGATTGAATTTTCACAGTAAACAAAATGACAGAAGTTGCTCATTTTTTCATACTGAAAAGCTTGATGTCCCTATTTTATGAAATTGGAATAAAATTTGGTGGTCACCGGCCATCCAAGAGATTTTTTGACCTCTAAAAATGAGTGCAAAAAGGCTAAATATAGGGAAAATGGACATAAAACCTCTTCGATTGAATTTTCACAGCAAACAAAATGACAGAAGTTGCTCATTTTTTCATACTGAAAAGTTTGATGTCTCTATTTCATGAAATTGGAATAAAATTTGGGGGTCACCGGCCATCCAAGAGATTTTTTGACCACTAAAAATGAGTGCAAAAAGGCTAAATATAGGGAAAATGGACATAAAACCTCTTTGATTGAATTTTCACAGCAAACAAAATGACAGAAGTTGCTCATTTTTTCATACTGAAAAGCTTGATGTCCCTATTTTATGAAATTGGAATAAAATTTGGGGGTCACCGGCCATCCAAGAGATTTTTTGACCTCTAAAAATGAGTGCAAAAAGGCTAAACATAGGGAAAATGGACATAAAACCTCTTCGATTGAATTTTCACAGCAAACAAAATGACAGAAGTTGCTCATTTTTTCATACTGAAAAGTTTGATGTCTCTATTTCATGAATTTGGAATAAAATTTGGGGGTCACCGGCCATCCAAGAGATTTTTTGACCACTAAAAATGAGTGCAAAAAGGCTAAATATAGGGAAAATGGACATAAAACCTCTTTGATTGAATTTTCACAGCAAACAAAATGACAGAAGTTGTTCATTTTTTCATACTGAAAAGCTTGATGTCCCTATTTTATGAAATTGGAATAAAATTTGGGGGTCACCGGCCATCCAAGAGATTTTTTGACCTCTAAAAATGAGTGCAAAAAGGCTAAATATAGGGAAAATGGACATAAAACCTCTTCGATTGAATTTTCACAGCAAACAAAATGACAGAAGTTGCTCATTTTTTCATACTGAAAAGCTTGATGTCTCTATTTTATGAAATTGGAATAAAATTTGGGGGTCACCGGCCATCCAAGAGATTTTTTGACCTCTAAAAATGAGTGCAAAAAGGCTAAATATAGGAAAAATGGACATAACAACCTCTTTGATTGAATTTTCACAACAATCAAAATGACAGAAGTTGCAATTTTTTTCATACTGAAAAGCTTGATGTCTCTATTTTATGAAATTGGAATAAAATTTGGGGGTCACCGGCCATCCAAGAGATTTTTTGACCTCTAAAAATGAGTGCAAAAAGGCTAAATATAGGAAAAATGGACATAACAACCTCTTTGATTGAATTTTCACAACAATCAAAATGACAGAAGTTGCAATTTTTTTCATACTGAAAAGCTTGATGTCTCTATTTCATCAAATTGGAATAAAATTTGGGGGTCACCGGCCATCCAAGAGATTTTTTGATCTCTAAAAATGAGTGCAAAAAGGCTAAATATAGGGAAAATGGACATAAAACCTCTTTGATTGAATTTTCACAGCAAACACAATGACAGGAGTTGCTCATTTTTTCATACGGAAAGCTTGATGTCTCTATTTTATGAAATTGGAATAAAATTTGGGGGTCACCGGCCATCCAAGAGATTTTTTGATCTCTAAAAATGAGTGCAAAAAGGCTAAATATAGGGAAAATGGACATAAAACCTCTTTGATTGAATTTTCACAGCAAACACAATGACAGAAGTTGCTCATTTTTTCATACGGAAAGCTTGATGTCTCTATTTTATGAAATTGGAATAAAATATGGGGGTCACAGGCCATCCAAGAGATTTTTTGACCTGTGAAAATGAGTGCAAAAAGGCTAGATATAGGGGAAATGGACATAAAACCTCTTTGATTGAATTTTCACAGCAAACAAAAATGACAGAAGTTGCTCATTTTTTCATACTTAAAAGCGTGATGTCTCTATTTTACGAAATTGGAAAAATATTTGGTGGTCACCGGCTATTCAAGAGATTTTTTGACCTCTGAAAATGGGTGCAAATAGGCTAATTTCTGAATGGATATAGGGGAAATTGGAAAAAAAAACCTTTCTTTTTGAATATTCACAGGAAAAAAATGACAGAACTTGCTAATTTTTATGCCCCATCATAGCTGAGGGGGCATTGAATTTTACCCTTGTCCGTATGTAAGTCTGTTCGTCCGTATGTACGTCCCAGGTTTGATTTAGGTTCTCCAGCTTTTATTTGCCTCAACCAAATGTTATGAAACTTTATCACAATGTTTTTACCACACAACACACACCAAGTTTTAATTTTGTTGGTGTCACTTTAACCGTTCTAGAGTTATGCCCCTTTACAAATTGAAAAATTGCTGAATTTTTCCTTTCCTTTCTCTAACTTTAGTTTGCTTTTACCAAATGTTATGATTGATATCTTGCAGTTTCCTTTGCATTTTCTTATCAAACTTTGAAGTATTATTAAGTATCATGTGCAGATTTCGGTGTAAATAGGCTGTGTTTGCTTTATATATAAGACTCATTTCTAAAGGAGCACCAACATAAAATATTATGTAAAGGAAACATGGCATTTTCTGTTTATTTTCTTATTATGATATGAGTTAGAATGTCCCATTAGTATGGTTAATCTTTCTTTTATCACACATTAAAGATTCAGATAAATGTGAGCATTTGTTCTCGTTTTCTTTTCATTTCTTTTTAATATTAAAAAAATACATTCCGAATAAATTTGACAAAAAATAGACCTACCATCACTACCACACATAATCAGCACAGTAAGTGCCCCTCTTTTTCCATTCCATTTGATTATCCAGTATTATGTGGTGATGTGCAAGTTATAATTGTTTTTTTTGTGTGTTACCGAGTTGATTTAGGGAATTAACATGACTAAACATATTTCTTGATAGAAGTGAAACAACAACATGTGATCTAACACATTTATTTTATTTTCAATGGATATCTGTTCTTACGTTTGTTTGTACATATATAATTAAATAAAGATGCCAAATAAATTACATGTTTTTCTCAGTTAGAAATACTGTTTGTAGTAACTAGGTTAAATAATTTCACTGAATAAAATTTGCAAAGGCCTTGCTAATAATATAAATTTTTAAAAACATATTAAGACATTTTGCTTTGGACTTCAACATGACAAATTCTAGACTTAACCCTAATTTGGTTTATTATACAATTATTTGCAAAATGTAGATCATAATGAATATGTGTAAAATTTCATTAACTATGTTCAGCACAAACATTGACCTGACCAATACCTGAATACATGTATTATCATGTAAACATCAAATAGTCATGATTGAAGTCATCAAAATACTGTTTGTTTGAATATATTTGCCGTAACTTGTATAAGTCTTTCTGATATCATTTTATCCCATATTCAATCTTTTAAAGATGGAGATCTCCTTCTTTCCCATCCACAGAGGTAGGAGTATAATTATGCCAGACATCTCATTCAAAATTTTACTTTTTGAATATACAGTATTTTGATACTTCTGTACAAATAGATGAAAGTATGTTATTTATAGATAGCTTTTTAAAGTTTCAACAGCAATAACATTTCTAAATAACCTTGGATGTCTTTTTACTAATATAAACACCTGAGAGAAAAGACTACAATTGTTCCTGCAGCTTTTTTATAATTGTTAAGCTATTTTCCAAAAATTTCTATATACTTGTTCTAATTGCCTGTACTAGCAATAAAAAAAATCCACCAAAATATATATAAAAAAAACACAGACTAAGACTAAGATTTATAGAACTGTTAATTCAACATATTTTAAAACTCTTATCTCAAGTTGAACTTTTTTTCAAGAAAGTGTACAGTCAAAATTTATCATACTATGTTCATACAGTCTATCTTTATGAACAAAATTTGGGTTATAGCCTGATAAATTACTTCACTGGATTATGTATGCATTAAAAACTCAAATGCATCTCATCCAGTAAGTAATGGTTTTCCAATCAACAATAAATTATTACACAAACTTAAAACAATTGATATCTAAAAAAATTCAAGGTTCATATAAAGTTGTATAACTATCAAAACAATTTGGTTTATATATTGAAGATTTGTCTACAATACATTTACAAATATTACAGCAGGGCTCACGCTACCATTTACAGTAATTTACAGTACACATTAATGTTTATCTCTGATCATGAATTTCAACAAAAGGTTAGTTAAGGTAAAGTTCTGCATAACAACGATCAATTTTCTAATTCTTATCATACAGGAGGAATAATATTTTATGTTAAAACTTCATGACCTCCCCTGTAACTGTATCATATGCTCTTAAAGTATTACCACTGACTGACTACCTTATATAACAAAACATATTTTTCCTTTACTTTTGACTAATTAGATACTCATATACTCTTTGTATAATTTTTTTGTTTGATGTCACTCTAACTACCCCAGTTGAAGACTTTTCTGTCATTAAGGCTTTGAGTCCTGCCATGTCATTTCGTTGTACTGCTAATTGGAAATGTTGAAACCTTAGGTTAGACCTCGCTGTCTTTAGTGCCATAGCTTTTGACAGACATTTTGATTGAACTAGCTTTTCAAAAGTTTTCAAGTTGGCCAATTGAATCTGGTATAACTGAGGGTAGCTAGGTGAAAAAGCAAGTTCACTAATAAATTGAGAAACATTACCTTTCTCAGTGACTAAATTAAAAAGTAATTTTGTGTCATACACAGCATTATGAGATTCATACTGTTGACCTAATAGTTTGTCAACAAGAAAAGACTGGCTATAAGATGACAAGCCAGGTGAAACAAGTTTAAACAAATTCAAAGAGTCTAAAAATGCAACAGTCCTTGCACATAGTTCACTGTACATATTCATACATTTTAAGGTATGAAATAAAACATGGCAGTCAAATCGTTTTATATTATGTCCTACCAATACAGGTTTATCTGTGAAACTTGACAAATAAGTTAAAAAATCAGTCATTCCTTCATGTTTATGCTTATAAACAACAGCATTACCATTGTAATACATTTTTTGTCCTACAATAGTGATTTTTGTTATTTCTGATGCTTCTCTTGAAATTTGTTGGTCTGGAAATATATATCGACTGAAGGAACTGTCTTTGGTGCATGCAGCTATCTGGGTTATATCAGAATATCTACCTGAAGTTAAACATTTTGTTTATTATTGTGCATCTAAACTGTAAAAGGTATTTCGAAAAAGCAATTAATTGTCAAAAAATTATCAACAGGACTAAGTCTTCTATCCCCCTTATTTGAACTTTAGTTGATGGTCTTATTGGCAATTATACCACATCTCCTTATTTCATATCTCTCTTCATTGAAATAACTAAAAAAAATTAGTTTTGCTCCACTGGTCTGTAAATATTTTTCTAAAATTATCATCTTTGTATTTTATCTCACCTCCAAAATAAGGTAGATGCAAAGTGTAAATTGCTAAAAAAAAAAATGAAAGAGTTATTGCCCCTCAAATGTATTGTTTTAGCAATTTTCAGTTTTTGGTTTTATTTCAACTAAAAGAAAAAAATAACATTAGAATAATCATCAAAATCAAGCTAAATTATCAAGGTGAGTCATTCATGATCCTCTTAATATACTTTATTCATAACGCAGCCTAATATGCATTGACTTTAAAATTTGGCTTAACACAGTATATACAGACATTGATAATGTGTTTCTGTAGATATTGTTATATCTTTGATGTCATGAAAAAATGCAGTTCTTTCAATTTTAACGTTATCCACTGAAATATTTTTTTATAATTGAGGTAACTCATTTCTGAAGTTTAATTATGTATAACTTACTTAAACCAGTTGTCTCTAAATCAAAACAAACTATTGGTGCATCATCTATGTTTGTAAAGGTTTCAGCTTCAGGAATTGCAGGTATTTCTTCTATGTCTATTGTTGCAAAATCTTCTAACCCTAATTAAAATAAAATATACCAAGTCTTTGAAAGAAAATAATTTCAACTTTATAAAATATCAAAATCTACTAAAATCATTAATATTTTGTGACTAAATTGTCCCAAAAATTACAATACTTCAGAAGTCTGGTAAATTTCATGATTACATCTTCATGTTAATTATATAACTTTAATGTCTGGCTGAAATCTCACGCATTTTCACAGTTTGTGATTAATTGCACAGTCATTTTATAATTTGAAAACTTTTTTGACTTGGGGACATAAAAATATATACATGAATATTACATATGCATGGACCTGATGGTGTAGCATTCTCCTATTTGGATATAATGATCACATGTATCAAAGATTATTTTATATATCCAAAGCCTTGTTTCTATTTTAAAGTATATTGATTCTATGTTTCTATTATAATAATAATTATGTATATTGACCTCTTCAAAAGTAAAAGGCACATCATACTTTCTGTCAATATAAGAATTATTACCGATTGAACTGTGGTATGTTCTCCCTTCTTTGACTTCAGCCACTGTTGTTTTTTGGAGGCGTTTCTTTTTGAGAACTTTACGTTGTCTTTTTCCCTGTTTGCTTTTGAATCTGTTTTTGTTGCCCTCTCTCTTCTTGTTTAATTTATTACCCCTGCTTAGGGTCTCATTTCCAGGTGACAGGCCTATAGATGTGTTTAACTGAAAAATCAATTCATTTAAAATCATGCAAGTCTTTATCATCTTTATAATAATTCCTTAAAAAAAATCATATTTTGTATGTTTTTGCAATGAAAGTTGAAGGCATTTTGTAGTATGAATATTACATTTTGAGCAGCAATAATCAATCATTGAATAGAATTCGGCAAAATTGAGATTAATCTTGACCTGATGTAGAATAATCAGAATATTTACCCAGGAATCTTTAACAGTTGATATCATAATGTATTGTTTTTTTTGCTCATTTTTAAAGGCTGTAAAAGTTTTTCCAGAATTAATGGTATGGGAGGGAGGAAGGCACTTTTATTAAAATTTGATGGGTGGTGGTTATTTAAGAAAGATTGCCTGAACATTTATATGAAATATCCAATTTAAAATGTATGCATGGTGGGGTCAAATAAAAAGTGCCTTCCTACCCCCCATGATACATTTATTTTTGGAAAAGCCCTAACATAGTTGCTTAGATATGTCTTTTTGTCTTTGGTAAATAGATGTCTCATTTGCAATCATACCGTATTTTCTTATTTTTATATTTTTTTAGTTTATTTGTTTTAATAGAGAAGTATATATATATATGAAGTAAGATTGCATTTATTACACATTCATTGTGATAATTAAAGCCTTAATGTTAGTTGCTAATTTCTGTTCAATTGTCTTAATTGCAATTAAGTATAGAATGTTTATCAAATAATACCTCAGCAATGTAATTATAACCCTCATTCTTTTGGAGTACAGCTGAGCTGACTCTGTAATTTAAAGATGCTGATGTGGAGAAATGTTTGGTTTTTGGAGCTTTGAGAGCAATTAAGTTATTAAAGCTTTCATTTGCCTGTGATGAGCCCAAGTTAGATAGCTTTTTAGACTGTGGAACAATTTTTTGAATAAACAGTTTCTCAAGATCTGATCTGAGTTCCACGGGGAAGATTTGAATGGATATAAGAATCCTTGTCTTTAAGGTATCCGCACCAAGTTTCATTGCCAAATATGTGTTTTATTGATGCATGTAGGCCGTCCTCAATACCACTCGGATTACCTACATTCTGGTTGACAACGTATGTAAAGTTTTTAACAATTGCGTCACAAACCATTCCAGTTAACTCTTTGTGTTTTGGCTTTAGTTCATTTATCTTTGAAATAATGTTATGTTTGATATGATTTCTATCACTTATTTTTTCCATTTTTGAATTGGGCATTAATCGCTTGGCTCGGTCAAACCCTGTGGAATCATCATCTCCTACTACTTCTAATATATCCACTCCTTTTTCATCTAATTCCTTTAACATTTCGACTACCATATCTGGTTCCATACCCTGAAATAGTTTTTAAAATAATGTGTATTCAGTAAACATTTAGATGATACCACAACCCCATATTTGATTATCAAAAGCCTTAAACTTTGCATTGACAAAATTTTTTGTAAAAATTCCTCAAAAATGAAAGCTTACACGGTTTGGTTAATTCAACAGTTGTATCTAACAATTCTAATAATCTGTCAATTATTTGAAATTGAAATTTTTTGGAAACACGAAAGAATGAATGGTCCTCACATTCAATTTTATCAACTAAACATTGAATATGCCAATTCAAAATTACAACTTATTGTCATAGTAAATAATGAAGTGTTGGTTGTTTTCACAATGCAAAGATTACGGGACGTATTATGGGATATCGTTGTCCGTCTGTTCTTCTGTTGTCAACATGTAGGACATTAAATTAACTCAAAAACGCTTTAACTAATTTGCATAAAACTTTGATGAATTGTTATGTATATTGATGTGAGATCCCTTTGGTTTTTTATAAATTTTCGATTTTACATTTCCGAGTTATGGGGTTTTATTCATTAAAAAAGGGGTGATTTTCCAGTTTTGGACAATGACTCAAAAATACTTTCAGCAATTCTCATGAAACTTTAGTGAATTGTTTATATCTATTGATGTAAGCTCCCTTTTGATTTTTATACATTTGAAATATGACATTGAGAAGTAATTGAACTTTTTCTTTGAAAATGTGACGGGCGTATCATGTGCTCATGGCGCAGCTGTTTATTACCATTGTTATTGCTTTCATATGGTAAATACCTTTGCCGAACCACTCCAATTCTTTCTACACTTATGTTGTCGTGGTAAGACACCTCTGCTCTTTGCCCTTTCACAAATTCTACAGCTTGATATGCGAACCTTATGGTTTACAACTTTGCCTGTGGTTTTTCCTATCAGTGTGGAAACTCCTTCAAAATGCAACATATTGAAGTTTTATATCTAAATCACAATGTTCAAGACAAGATTTGAAAAGAACAGGTTTATATTGAGCATATCAAAGAACCCTCAATACTAAAATGTTGTTGAAATAAAACAACATTTAATTTTGGACCCCAATTTCGACCAACTTGAAAACAAGGCCAAACAAATCAAAAATCTAAATACACGATAAGATTCACCATATCAAAGAACCCCAAGATCTCAACTTTTGAAGAATAAAAAAAAAATTTGACTCCTTTACACCTTAATGTGAAATTATTTATTTGAAAATTGGTACCGAATTCAATAAAATGCTCCACTGGGCACAGCTTGATACGACCGCAGAGGTTGAATCCTAAATAGGGGCAAGTATGGACACAACATTCAAGCTTGATACAGCTCTGAATTTGGATTGTGATTAAATATTTGACACAGCATAGGTTTCTGACACAGAATGAATGTGGTCTAAGAACTTAAAAAAATTTAATTTACCTATTATGGTCCAATACCCAAAATCTAAATACATGGTTAGATTCAGCATATCAAAGAATCCAAAGAATTTTATTTTTGATGAAATCTATATATAAATCAGAAATAACCAACTTAAAATGGAAAATTTTAAAGAAAAAAAAAAGGAAAAAAAAAATCCCCCCCCCCCAATTTTTTGAACCCCCTTATGATTCATCACCCCCAAACTCAATCCCAGCCTTCCCTTTGTGGGATGGTACCTTGCAGTACAAATTCAGAGAGATCCATACACTTGAACACAAGTTATTGTCTGGAAACTAGAAAAATGCTTATTTTTTGCCCCTTTTTGGCCCCTTATTCCTAAACGTTTTGGGCAATTACCCCCAAACTCAATTCCAGCTTTCCCTTTGTGATATGGAACCTTTTAGTGCAATTTCAGATAGATCCATACACTTACACACAAGTTATTGTCATGAAACTAGAAAAATGCGTGTTTTTTGGCCCCTTTTTTGCCCCTAATTCCTAAAATTTTGAGGCAATTACCCCCAAAATCAATCCCAGCCTTCCCTTTGTGGTATGGTACCTTGCAGTACAATTTCAGAGAGATCCATACACTTGAACACAAGTAATTGTCTGGAAACTAGAAAAATGCTTATTTTTGGCCCCTTATTCCTAAACGTTTCGGGCAATTACCCCCAAACTCAATTACAGCTCTCCTTTTGTGATATGGAACCTTTTAGTACAATTTCAGATAGATCCATACACTTACACACAAGTTATTGTCATGAAACTAGAAAAATGCTTGTTTTTTGCCCCTTTTTTGCCCCTAATTCCTAAAATTTTGAGGCAATTACCCCCAAAATCAATCCCAGCATTCCCTTTGTGATATGGAACCTTGTGGTACAATGTCAGAGAAATTCATACACTAACACACAAGTTATTGTCTGGAAGTTACAAAAATTGCCCCTAATTCCTTAACTGTTGGTACCATAACCCCCAAAATTAATCCCAACTTTCCTTTTGTGGTATTGAACCTTATGGTAAAATTTCATAGAGATCTATTCACTTAAACTAAAGTTATTGTGCGAAAACCAATTTGTCTTCGGACGACGACGACAACCACGACGACACCAACGTCATACCAATATACGACCGCAAAAATTTTTTGCGGTCATATAAAAATCTAAATACATGGTTGTATTCGATATACCAAAGAACCCAATAATTTAATTTTTGAATTTTTGAAAAATTTTAAGATTTTAAAAAATGTTGACAGCTTTGGATATTTTATGTGGACTTATCTATTTGAAAATTGGGACCAAATTCAAAAATCCAAATATATTGTAAGATTGGGCATATCAAAGAATCCAAAAAATGCAACTATGAATAAAGTTTAATTTCAGATCCCTTGGATCTCAATATGCACCAATTAAAATACAGGGTCCAAAATCCAATAGATTCAACATATTAAGAACCCCATAAATTCAAGCCTGTAAATTAATCATAATGAAATCGGTCAAGAAAAAAGCAGTTTATACAAAGTATTAGAAGTATTGTTTTTAGCCTGGTGAGCATTTTTAATTTCCTATGGAAATTCATATTGGAAGGGGAGATAACTCCGCAAAAAAAAAGAGTCTTTTTTTTGTCAGTTTTTGGTTGATTTTCTTAAAATTTATGTAAAGTATGATACTTAGATGTGGTTATAAGTTCATATTTGACTATATTATATAATCTTCAGCTCATGAAATGTACAAAACCAAAGAATTATGGGTATTTTTATTATGCCCCCGCCGTAGCGGAGGGGGCATTAAGTTTTACCCTTGTCCGTCTGTACGTACGTACGAACGAACGTACGTACGTCCCAAATTGGTTTCCGTTCTCTAACTTTAGTTTGCCTCAACCAAAATTTATGAAACTTATACACAATGCTAATTACCACAAAACACAGATCAAGTTTGAATTTTGGTGGCGTCCCTTTTACCGTTCTAGAGTTATGCTCCTTTACAAATGGAAAAATTGCTGAATTTTTCGTTTCCGTTCTCTAACTTTAGTTTGTCTCAACCAAATGTTATGAAACCTATACACAATGCTTATTACCACAAAACACAGATCAAGTTTGAATTTTGGTGGCGTCACTTTAATCGTTCTAGAGTTATGCCCCTTTAGAAATGGAAAAATTGCAAAAGTTTTATTTTCCTCTTAATATCAAGTTATTAATTTTTAGAATTGGAGTTATCTTCCTTTGTCCATGATTATAGTTGAGTCAACTGCAATCAATGCTTAATACAATGCAATGTTTAATTTTGACTTCCACTGATAAAACACAGATCAAGTTGAATTTGGGTAGTGTCACTTTAACCATTATTGGGTTATGCCCCTTTATAAATCGAAAGATTGCAAAATTTTTAGTGTCCATTCTGTAACTTAAGTTTGCCCCAACCAAACATTATGAAACCTATACACATTATTCATTACCACAAAACTAAGATCAAGTACAACATTTTTGTATCCGTTTTCTAACTTTAGTTTGCCTCAACCAAATGTTATGAAACTTATACACAATGCTTATTACTACATAATACAGATTAAGTACGAAATTTGGTGGCAACACTTTTACCATTCTTGAGTTATGTCCCTTTATAAACATAAAAATTGCTGAAGTTTTCGTTTCCGTTCTGTAACTTTAGTTTGTCTTAACCAAATGTTATAAAACTTATACACAACCGTTCTAGAGTTATGCGTGTTTACAAATAGAAAAATTGCTGAATTTTTAGTTTCTGTTCTCTACTAAAGTTAGCCTCAACCAAATGTTATGAGACTTACACACAATGCTTATTACCACAAAACTGAGATCAAGTTCAAATTTGGGTAGCGTCACTTTTACCGTTCTTCAGTTATGTTCCTTTATAACTATATGATGTGCAAGCAGGGGCATCATCTGTGTCCACATGTGGACACTATCCACATTTTTTTTGTTTTTTTCATTTAACAAATTGCAAATTTGTGGCTTTGTGACCATTTTGAAAAAAAAATGTGAAAATTTGGTTTAGTTTATATCTGTATATTATATTTGTTCAGCATCTACCTTGTTTAAAGAAACTTTAAACCACAAAAAGAAGAATATATAAATAAATGGTCAACTAATGAATGACGAAATCTAGAATGTAGCTTGATAAAAGATAGGGAAACACCTTAAGAGTTGTTTGTTATACTCTAAAGAAGGCTAAAATATCAACAATCAATACATTCTATTGAATAGAAGCGGTAAAGT